GCTCTCTGATAGCCCCAAGCTGACCTCTGTGACCTGACGTGTCCCAGATGACCTCCGTGACCTCCAATTGAGCTCTGATGACTCCAAGCTGACCTCTGTGACCTGATATGTCCCAGATGACCTCTAATTGAGCTCACTGATAACCCCAAGTTGACCTCTGTGACCTGACGTGTCCCATATGACCTCTGCGACCTCTAAGTGACCTCTCTGTTGACCTTAAGCTGACCTCTGTGACCTGACGTGTCCCAGATGACCTCCGTGACCTCCAATTGAGCTCTAATGACTCCAAGCTGACCTCTGTGACCTGATATGTCCCAGATGACCTCCAATTGAGCTCACTGATGACCCCAAGTTGATCTTTGTGACCTGACATGTCCCATATGACCTCCACGACCTCTAAGTGACCTCTCTGATGACCCCAAGCTGACCTCTGTGACCTGACATGACCCATATGACCTCTGTGACATCTAAGTGACCTCCCTCATGACCCCAAGTTGACCTGTGTGACCTGACGTGTCCCAGATGACCTAAGTGGCCTCTCTCATGACCCCAAGCTGACCTGTGTGACCTGACGTGTCCCAGATGACATCCGTGACCTCCAATTGAGCTCTGATGACTCCAAGCTGACCTCTGTGACCTGATATGTCCCAGATGACCTCCAATTGAGCTCACTGATGTCCCCAAGTTGACCTCTATGACCTGACGTGTCCCATATGACCTCTGCGACCTCTAAGTGAACTCTCTGATGACCCCAAGCTGACCTCTGTGACCTGACGTGTCCAAAATGACCCCCATGACCTTCAATCGAGCTCTGTGATGAACCAAGTTGACCTCTGTGACTTGACATGTCCCAGATGACCCCCATGATCTCCAACAGAGCTCTGTGATAACCCCAAGTTGACCTCTGTTACCTAATGTGTCCCAGATGACCTCAATGACCTCCAATTGAGCTCTCTGATGACTCCAATCTGACCTCTGTGACCTTAGGTGTCCCAGATGACCTCCAATTGAGCTCTCTGATAACTCCAAGTTGACCTCTGTGACCTGACATGTCCCATATGACCTCCACGACCTCTAAGTGACCTCTCTGATGACCCCAAGCTGACCTGTGTGACCTGACGTGTCCCAGATGACCTCCGTGACCTCCAATTGAGCTCTGATGACTCCAAGCAGACCTCTGTGACCTGATATGTCCCAGATGACCTCTAATTGAGCTCACTGATGACCCCAAGTTGACCTCTGTGACCTGACGTGTCCCAGATGACCCTCAATTGAGCTCTGTGATGACCCTAAGTTGACCTCTGTGACCTGACGTGCCCCCAAGTTGCCCTTTGTGACCGACTTGTCTCAGATTGCCTCCGTGGTCTCCAATTGAGTTCTGTGATGACCCCAAGTTGACCTCTGTGACTTGGCGTGTCCCATATGACCTCTGTGACCTCTATGTGACCTCTCTGATGACTCCAAGTTGACCTCTGTGACCTGACGTGTCCCAGATGACCCCCATGTCTCTCTCTTTCTCTCTTTCTCTTCACGTGCCGGTGTCGCGGATCCTATAGGCAAATTTTGTACATACCAGTGTTGATCCCCAGTCTCTGACCGGACATGTATTTTTCCTTCCCTTAGGATGCCGGCGGCGGCGACGACAGTGCGCCGGCGCACATCTCTATGGAGGTGGACACGGCGACCCGTGGGCGACCGCCGCTGCCGCGGTTTGCTACAGGTGGCGATGGCCACTAATCTGTTGGAGGAGGCGCCCCCGGCACAGGTCCCAACCGCCGGAGACGCGGCAGAGACCGGGCAGTGGGCTGGTTTCCAGTCGCGATACGACGCGGTCGTGACAGCGTCTCAGTGCACAGGAGCCGCGGCTGTGGACGATTGTTGAGAGACGGCGCGGGGCACCGATAGAAGCTTGTCTGCTAGAGGGGGCATTCCACGATAGATCGTACCACTTTTTTCCAATTTGACACCCTCATCTCTCGAAATTTGACGAGAATTGGTCTAAGGGGTAATCAGGGGCTCTGAATCCACCTGTAACAATTTCAGGCTTATCAGATAAGTATTTTTTGAGTTATGGTGTATAACATTTTTTTGATCTTGCTTTGCAGCGCTAAGTTTGGCGGGCTGTAACTCTAAGACGAATTATTCAAATGCCAAATGTTATATAACATTGAACTTGCAATGAAACAGAGATTAATATGTATTTTTGAAATTTCGAAAAATACGCTATTTTTGATATATGACATATCAAGTTTTCTTTCATTTGTATTTTTTGGACTTTGGGACCAAATTTTTTTGAATTTTTATTTCTTTAAAAAAATATTTGGCTCATTGTTAAGAAGTATGCAAAAAATTAGGAAGGTGTTCTTTCTATAAATGTATTTATTTTACGTCACGATAACGGTTTCGAATAGTGATTTCGGGAGGGGAGCTTACAAATGGCGTGGTAAAGCTGCCTAGTAACATCACGGGTTACTGAAATTTCAGTTCAAGTCTGAGTCATCTGAAAAAAGTAAAAAGAGGGTTCATTCAACCCTCTTTCCTATAAGCGCGAGGGTGAAAAAGGCTGTTTGGTTATGACATTGTTTTGGACGCCAATGACCATAGCTGTCCGAGATGAAAGTTACAGGACGCATACATGGTGTCCTCCAGAGGTCTCACAACTTGTATATCTGGGAATTTTTCAAGGTTACATGAGGTCAGGTCGGTCACGTGACATCACTGTTATCAATCAATGGGGAAATATAAAAACTGTTATTTTGGCGCCGAGAATGATCTAAAACTATCCCACGTACATGGTATCGTGATTTCATGCACTCCTTGCGAAGTCCAATGCTTTACTTTTGCATTGTTAACCTTGCGTGACGTCATTTATGACGTCACTAGGGTCGCACGAGTTTTTCGTCAATAACTCCCGATCAAATGGAGCTAGAGAGTCGGGAAAGCCATCACTGGACTCGGGAAGACCTTCCGAATCGAATGATATGCCATATGATACCCTTTGCCCAGCTTCATGACCTGAGGGGCTCTGACCTGACCTTGACCCGAGGTCAACTACTTAAGTTGACCTCACCCTGGCAAAAAGTATACCATTCGATGCACCTGAGCTAGGCGAACACAATGATGCCAAAATCGCGGCTCTGCGGCCATTTTTTGCGAAGTTATTTACTAAAAACCGAACCCGTAACTTCAGTCACGTGACCTGACCTCAGACGCTACCAGTTAACCTGAGACCTTAAAATCGGGTACCAATCGCTGCGACTTGTAACGGCACACACGCTCGTTTTTTCCGCGAGGCTCTAGCTCTATTAGAAGCGAAACGGCGTGCTGGGGTCGTATCAACCCCTCCGAAACCCATTTTGTTTGCGGGAAAATGAGGAACTTATAGAAAGAACACCTTTCTAATTTTTTGCATGTCGATTTGCAATGACATGAAGATTATTTTGAAAAAATAAAAATGTGAAAAATTTTGGTCCCAAAAGTCATTAGAGGCAAATGAAAAAAGATGAAGGTTTTTGCTCAACAATGAAATTTTTTCTTTGGAATTTTTAAATAGTAATATTAATTTTTGATTCATCGCAAGCTTAGTGTTGTTTACTTTTTGTTGGTTGCTTAACCCGTTCTTGAGTTATAGGCCATCAAACTCACCGTTACATACCGAAGTTAAAAAAATGTAATGCAATATAGCTCAAAAAGTTTTGATCTGAGAAGTCTGATATTTTGCCAGGCGTCTTTGGGGCCTATGATTACCCCTGGGACCGATTTTCATTAAAATCTGAGAGATGAGGGTGACGGGCCTGGTACGATCTATCGTGGAATGCCCCAGAGATCAAATCCTGTCTGCTGGTAGTATATAATGCCGCGTAGGCGCTAATGCCGCACTTCTCGCTCTCGATCACCTCCAGCAGTCGCGCGGCGTACCTACGCTCGCTGCTCCTCGAGTAGATGGGGCGGCAGCGGCGCGGGCGGAGCCTGTGGAGGTGGTGGCGAGGGCGACACAACTCTGAAGCTTTGGAAAAAAAGCTGATAATACATACTATATAATAATAATACATACTATATATAAAAAAATGCTGATAATGCATACTACATACTAAAGCTGATAATACAATATATACGAGCGGAAGCGGCGCGCGCACAGCGCCAGCACCGTGTCGAGATCCTCCGGCGGCCTGCGCTCGTCGCTGAGCGTATGTAGACTACTTGTGTCTTGTAGACAGTAGAGCTCGTCTTGACGGCGAAATGCCATTGCCCAATTTTTCACTGTCCGGCGACCGCGGGATGACATTAACACTGTATGTCACGCCGTGCACATTATGAGCTGACCTTTCCGTGACCTCTCACTGGTAGCCCGGCCCCGCTACATAGCCATGAGGGGTGGTTGTGTCTGTCGTTAGGCGTCCCGGCCGGTCCGCCGGCTGTCTGGGTGACGAACGGCGTCCGTGGCGACCCCGCGCGGGACGCACCAGCCGCTGGCTCTCCAGCAGACGGTGCACGACCTGGGTGTTACCCGTTGCCATTATCCATTATCCATTAGCAATCCACATGTGCCTATGTCTGTTTTCGTTGTGAATAAATGTTTGCCTTGACAAGCGAGCTGAAACATCTTTCAATCGCCCAGTGTCATTCGATGCAATGCCCGATCACGTGCCGTCGAAAAGGTTATATCTCACTCCACGCTGGGGCTCCTAGATTTTCGCGCCTGGTGGGGGAGGGGCTGAACCGTGAACCTCCCAGTGAAGGGGCTGAACAGCCCCCATCCCCTCGATTTCAACTCAGCTCCTTGACTAGATGTGTTGGTAGTATTAGAACGAGTATTAGAACTCTACCTGAGACGAGGCCACTTGAAGTACCTGGTGCCCTCACCCTGCTGACCTTGAAAGACACGAGCCTAAACTTTTAGTGTAGCACAGATGCATGCTAAGGCGTGCCAAAGAACGGCGGCGCTACCGTCTGATCGCTTTCAAAATGACCTCACTCTATTTCTCGTCAAAAGCTGTAGCTTGATCACCAGGGTTCTATATTTACTTTGAAACTGAACACGCCCAGCGCTGGTACACACGCGGAGCGGCTTCACATGCGTATACACTCGGTCATCACATGTGGGCATTACACGAGGCCCGGCCGAACAGAACTTGGTGCCGCTAGCGGCCTGGTTGTGCAAGGTCAGGCACGGCTCGAAGCCGACGCCATTGACGACGGCGAAGCGCTCCATGTCCTTGACTAGCTGTGCGGGACCGATGCGGTCCACGAAGCGGAAAGGTCCGCCGGTGAGTGGCGGGAAGCCGAGACCCAACACGCTGGCTCCGAGGTCGCCACGTCGAGACCTGTCAAAATGCGGTGCACTTAAGGCCTACAACTGAGGCAACCACAATCACGAGTCAGGAGTCAAGTTAATGGTGGCAATACGATTAATACAAATAGATTAAGCTAAATAAATCAGGCTATGAACTGAATAATTTGAGTCACATCCACCTTCTCAGCTAGCAATGTGAATCTCTCACCGACGTCGGGCTCGTCTTCCATAGCCTGTTCGGTGAGCCCCAGAAGCCGGGCGCCATCCACAGAGCGGGCGACGAACGCGTCGGCGTACTGGGCCAGACCGAGAGAGCGCAGCCAGCCGCCCACCGGAACGCAGCTCCATTCAGAGACCTGACAAAGAACGGAACGGTCACTCTACCTGTACCATAGCATTGCAATATTTTCACTGTCCACGTAGCCATCGGGAGTCGGTGTGCCGAACCCTACCTGTGTGGTAGCAGCGCGAAGCGGAGCGCTGGGCGTCGGGTCCACCACGACCGGCGCCGGCACTCCCACCGGCCACTGCATCACGGCTCAGTCTTAACAGCCTAATATCAGCAAACATCCGTCTCTAGAAAACCAGCAGCACGTGACGTACCGCTAGTAGCCCTGTGGTGCTCGCAGCAGCGTCAAGCTCTCCTGGCGACCGACGAACAATGGACGGTCAAAGAAAGTGAGGGCAGGAATATGGTCAGGGTGGGATCAGATATACAACTTACGGGAGCTGACAGGAGCTGCCAGGAGCCTACGGCAGCTGTCATGAGCTATCGTGAGCTGCCAGGAGCTGAAAGGAACTTACGGGAGCTGAAAGAAGCTTACGGGAGCTGCAAGGAGCTTACGGGAGCTGACAGAAGCTGACAGGAGCGAGGCTACAGCTAGGCGAGGTCACAAAAGTCGGTATAGGTCACAGGAAAACAAACGAATGTCACAAGTAGTCACACGAAGACGACGGGTCCTACGAGGTCACAGGAAGTCAGGCGAGGGTGGGAGAAGCCACTCAAAGTTCAGCGAGATAAAAGGAGGTTGAGGAAAGCTCACGTGGTTATGCGAAGTCTCTAGAGGTCATATGAGATCACAAAGAATCAGTAGAGCTCAGAGCTCAACTGAGGGTCATTTGGGACACGTCAGGTCACAGAGGTCAGCTTAGGATCATCAAAGAGCTCAATTGGAGGTCATCTGGGACATATCAGGTCACAGAGGTCAGCTTTGAGTCATCAGAGCTCAATAGGAGGTCACGGAGGTCATCTGGGACACGTCAGGTCACACAGGTCAACTTGGGGTCATGAGGGAGGTCACTTAGAGGTCACAGAGGTCATATGCGACATGTCAGGTCACAGAGGTCAGCTTGGGGTTATAAGAGAGCTCAATTGGAGGTCATCTGGGACATGTCAGGTCACAGAGATCAGCTTGGAGTCATCAGAGAGGTCACTTGATGTCACAGAGGTCATATGGGACACGTCAAGTCAAAGAGGTCAACTTGGGGTCATCACAGAGCTCAATTGGAGGTCACGGAGGTCATCTGGGACACGTCAGGTCACAGAGGTCAGCTTAAGGTCATCAGAGAGGTCACTTAGAGGTCGCAGAGTTCATATGGGACACGTCAGGTCACAGAGGTCAACTTGGGGGTCATCAGTGAGCTCAATTGGAGGTCATCTGGGACATATCAGGTCACAGAGGTCAGCTTGGAGTCATCAGAGCTCAATTGGAGGTCACGGAGGTCATCTGGGACACGTCAGGTCACACAGGTCAACTTGGGGTCATGAGGGAGGTCACTTAAAGGTCACAGAGGTCATATGGGACATGTCAGGTCACAGAGGTCAGCTTCGGGCTATCAGAGAGCTCAATTGGAGGTCATCTGGGACATGTCAGGTCACAGAGATCAGCTTGGAGCCATCAGAGAGGTCACTTGATGTCACAGAGGTCATATGGGACACGTCAAGTCACAGAGGTCAACTTGGGGTCATCACAGAGCTCAACTGAGGGTCATTTGGGACACGTCAGGTCACAGAGGTCAGCTTAGGATCATCAAATAGCTCAATTGGAGGTCATGTGGGACATATCAGGTCACAGAGGTCAGCTTGGAGTCATCAGAGCTCAATTGCAGGTCACGGAGGTCATCTGGGACACGTCAGGTCACAGAGGTCAGCTTAAGGTCATCAGAGAGGTCACTTAGAGGTCGCAGAGGTCATATGGGACACGTCAGGTCACAGAGGTCAACTTGGGGGTCATCAGTGAGCTCAATTGGAGGTCATCTGGGACATATCAGGTCACAGAGGTCAGCTTGGAGTCATCAGAGCTCAATTGGAGGTCACGGAGGTCATCTGGGACACGTCAGGTCACACAGGTCAACTTGGGGTCATGAGGGAGGTCACTTAGAGGTCACAGAGGTCATATGGGACATGTCAGGTCACAGAGGTCAGCTTGGGGTTATCAGAGAGCTCAATTGGAGGTCATCTGGGACATGTCAGGTCACAGAGATCAGCTTGGAGTCATCAGAGAGGTCACTTGATGTCACAGAGGTCATATGGGACACGTCAAGTCAAAGAGGTCAACTTGGGGTCATCACAAAGCTCAATTGGAGGTCACGGAGGTCATCTGGGACACGTCAGGTCACAGAGGTCACTTAGAGGTCACAGAGGTCATATGGGACACGTCAGGTCACAGAGGTCAACTTGGGGGTCATCAGTGAGCTCAATTGGAGGTCATCTGGGACATATCAGGTCACAGAGGTCAGCTTGGAGTCATCAGAGCTCAATTGGAGGTCACGGAGGTCATCTGGGACACGTCAGGTCACACAGGTCAACTTGGGGTCATGAGGGAGGTCACTTAGAGGTCACAGAGGTCATATGGGACATGTCAGGTCACAGAGGTCAGCTTGGGGTTATCAGAGAGCTCAATTGGAGGTCATCTGGGACATGTCAGGTCACAGAGATCAGCTTGGAGTCATCAGAGAGGTCACTTGATGTCACAGAGGTCATATGGGACACGTCAAGTCAAAGAGGTCAACTTGGGGTCATCACAGAGCTCAATTGAGGGTTATCTGGGACACGTCAGGTCACAGAGGTCAGCTTGGGGTCATCAAAGAGCCCAATTGGAGGTTACGGAGGTCATCTGGGACATGTCAAGTCACAGAGGTCAACCTGGGTCATCACATAGCTTGATTGAAGGTCATGGGGGTCATCTTGGACACGTCAGGTCACAGAGGTTAGCTTGGGGCAATCAGAGAGATCACTTAGAGGTCGCAGAGGTCATATGGGACACATCATGTCACACAGGTCAACTTGGGGTCATGAGGGAGGTCACTTAGAGGTCACAGAGGTCATATGGGACATGTCAGGTCACAGAGGTCAGCTTGGGGTTATCAGAGACCTCAATTGGAGGTCATATGATACACGTCAGGTCACAGATGTCAACTTGGGGTCATCACAGAGCTCAATTGGAGACCACTGATGCAGCTGAGACACGTCGGTCACAAAGGGCAACTTGGAGGCACGTCAGGTCACAGAGGTCAACTTATGGTCATCACAGAGCTCAACTGGGGGTCTTCTGGGACATGTCAGGTCACAGAGTTCAGCTTGGGGTCATCAGAGAGATCACTTAGAGGTTACAGAGGTCATATGGGACACGTGAGGTCCCAGAGGTCAAGTTGGGGTCATCACAGAGCTCAAATGGAGGTCATCTGGGACATGCCAGGTCACAGAGGTCAGCTTAGAGTTATCAGAGCTAAACTGGAGGTCACAGAGGTCATCTGGGACACATCAGGTCAAAAAGGTCAACTTGGGGTCATCGCAGAGCTCGTTGGAGGTCGTAGGGGTCATCTGGGACACGTTTTTGGAATCGGGAGAATTTTTTGGGGGGATGACCCTTGCAGCGTCCAAGACCGCCTTTCTGGATTCGCCAGTAGTTGCTGGAATGGTGTTAGGCTACTTCCAATTCCTGAATACCCCAATAAATGTGAAATAGCATATTATGGACCATTTTCAACACTCTTGCTGCCTCGCTGGCATGGATGGAGGCCTCATAAACGACCTGTCAGTTCAAGCTCTATAACTTGCATTAGCATCAATGGATTGCAACAAAATTTTCAGGATCTTAAGTTCAAACAATTTTACACGTACCACGTAAATTTCGAGGCAATGACCCGAATGACCTGTGACCTATTCGGTATACCCCAAGGCAAGGTCAACTTGCGACACTGACACTACTTACGACTGCTATTTCAATTTTGTAAGTTGTGTCGCAAATCAGGCAACGTGCAATACATTAAAATTACAATAACCCACACCAAAACACACTATACCTACCAAATCAAGTTCTTCAGCACCCCTAAGGCCAGTGCACTGGCACGGGGCACGTCCAAGGTCAAATCGCGTTTCTCAGATTTTCGGTTTGTTATTTTCATCAAGGTTTTGATAGGTGCTCGCACGGTAGCCATGTTGGGATAGGTGAATTAAAGGTTAAATTATTTAAATATTTTAAAACAAGATATCTTGGCTCGCTCCGCGTCGCTTTGGCCATAAAGAGATTCGGGAGAAAATTTGGGATCGAATGGTGTTTTTCCGGTGACGATTGGACGTCTAGAAGCTTCGATATTGGCGAAAAACTTGCTGAACTTGCAAAAGTACTTGGTACTTGCTTGGTACTTGCCAAAGTACTCGGTACTTGCCAAAGTACTTGGTACTTGCTTGGTATTTGCATAAGTACTCGGTATTTGCCAAAGTACTTGGTACTTGCTTGGTATTTCCATAAGTACTTGGTACTTGCTTGGTACTGCGAAAGTACTTGGTACTTGCACTCGCCCCCCGTTCCCCCGACTCTACTCCCACACCTACCCCCTCGGGATAATTCCGGGTTCGTCGGGTAGGAAAACTTGCCACTCTACTCCCCCCCCCCCCACACACACACACAGAGCCATTTGGTATCGATCGGTGTTTATCCCGTGTCAATCGGTCGTCAATAAGCCGAGATATGCACGGCGAATTATTTCAATCGGCGTCGATCAGAATCTTCAGAACGGAGGGACCCACACTCATTTCTGGCCGTATCTCACTTTTCCGAGATTTACGTCAAACTACGTATTTAAAACTACATATTCTACAGCCGAATCTTCAAACTGGGGGTACCTCAGACCGTGGGAACGACTCGGCTCAGCACTGCCGCACGCGCATTCAGCGGCGGCTTGTCGATTTTTCGAGTGTCGGCTGCCGATCTCCCGAGAGCCGGCCACCTGTCAGCCGCCGCTCGGCTCTGTGTTAAGCATATGGGGACGGCGAATTTCTCCCGGAGGGAAGCACCTCGCTCACAAAAGCACGTGAATCAGCCGCATTCCTGTGAGGCGCGCAATGTTGAAGAGATATGTGTGCACGCAGCTATCTCGCAAGCCCTAAGAGAAAAAGCTCGCTGCAAAAACTCAGCGTTTCAAAAAGTTTGTCACGTGAATCAGCCGCATTCCTGTGAGGCGCGCAATGTTGAAGAGATATGTGTGCACGCAGATATCTCGCAAGCCCTAAGAGAAAAAGCTCGCTGCAAAAACTGAGCGTTTCAAAAAACCCGAAATCCTACTCAAATGAATAATTAAATAAATAATTTAAGACCTGCCAAGCCTAACAATACGCAGAATAATAACCAGAATTAAAAATTGTATAGGGATAAAAATTTATATGTGAATCGAAAGGGTCCGCTAAAAATGACCTTGACCTTTGACCCGTCATTTCTCCGTAGTTTGACCTTGCCAAAACAAGAAAAACCAGCAGTAGCATCTCCAACATTGGTTGCATCATTGAGCAAAAAATTATTGAAATCTAAGGGGTCCTCCTTTCTCACCTGACCACGTGGTCACTTCCACTTCCTGTATTACACATACGTGACCTTGATTCTGACCTTTGACCTACTATATATCAGTTCGTGCTGCTTGCCAAAGTAAGATACTGATATTTTTGAAATCAGCTCTTCATGGACTATAGTTGTACAAATTTTTACGAGAATCCAAAGGGTCCGCCGAGAATGACCTTGAACTTTGACCTAAGATTCCTCAGTTCTTAGGGGGTGCCAAGCCTAGGTGATTTATTTTCATAATAAGCATGTCCTGCTTTATCTATCCTGTTAATTTAAATCGATTCTGAGGGGTCCGTTTTTGTCATTTTTTCACGAATGTTGTGCTGGAATCCGAATCCGAATTTGAAGCCAACTTTATGAACGTATGGTCATCCTTTTCGTGTCCGGTGGCTCTAGGACCTCGTGCAGGGCCTTGCTCGTGCTGTGCATATGTTCCGCTTCGAAATTACTTCGATAACCACCTAAGGACGGATATATTAGTACAATTGTTAGTTTTCTTATAGAACAACTGTCTACAAGGTAAAGTTTGGGGCTAAGGTTGTGTATGTCGATGATAAAGTTACCGTAAAAAATCAGATGTTGGCAGATGGTGTTCATGGATCGTGGTTAAAAGATATTTATATCATGAATTCATTTGTAAATTGGCTGCAGTCTGTCCCAAGTGACTTCTGATTAGTACTGCTGTTCATGTACTTGTGCTCCGGAGTCCGGACAATGTTGGAAATAAGACCCTTTGCTGGTCCCCGTCAATTTCAAAAGATTGTTGAGATGTGTGTAACATCTCAACAACATCGCATAGTGCACGTCAATCTTTGTGATTGTGGGAACTGGCATTTGGCAAGGAAAGTGGAAGAATAGAGGGGGTGATTTGACTTGTGAGTCACGAGTGCAGGGAGTCGCTGTGTTTAACTTGCTTTAACCACAATTCACAGCCCTAGCTAATAGCTTGATCTTATAAGTTCTAATCCTCTTTCCCTTGGCATTTTATGATCACTTGTTCCTGTTTTTTGTATTTTTTATTTATTTTTTAGCTTGTTACAAAAAAATCATAGAATTAGTCAAGTGCTGATATATTATTGTAGGGCAGGCAAGCTATTCCTTTAAAGGCTAAAAGAGATGGTATTGAGACCTAAATTGGGCATTGTTGCAATGTCATTGTCATTTCGCACTGAATTAGGGTTAATAAATAATAGGCATGGAGACTGTGCAGGTAATCTTGTGATGAAATAAATGGCATTAAAGCTAAGAAAATCAGGTTAAATGCTTACACAGTATCAACTGATGATGTTTTTGCTGAGATTCATCATGGTTCTATGTTCAAAAGTTCCATCTTCTTGCACTATAGAACTCATTGGAAGGGTTTTTGTCTAATTATGAAGTAGAGTACCTACATCATATTTCAGTATCTCAGTGTTTGTTTTAAATCAGTGTAGTTATGCTTCTCTATGCCTGTTATTTATCATCTCTCTTTGCCTTTGATCGCAAACAAGTCGAAAACATTTGTCTCATGCACGAAGCTGACTGAAATGTTTCTGTTTACATTGCAGTCGCCGCCATCATGCCGCTGTCGTGCCGATTTTATTCGCAAAAGTTCCCCGAGATAGACGACGTGGTGATGGTGACGGTACGTCAAATCGCCGAGATGGGCGCCTACGTGCGCCTGCTCGAGTACAACGACATCGAGGGCATGATCCTGCTGTCGGAGCTCTCGCGGCGACGCATCCGATCCATCAACAAACTCATCAGGGTCGGCAAGACAGAGCCCGTCGTCGTCATGAGGGTTGACAAGGACAAGGGTGAGTGGAAACCGCTGGCTGCGCGGTGGGAGTCGAGCGCTTTGCTTTGTCTAATTTCGTTGCTGTCGTTTTGCAAGTAAACCCCACTTCTAACTATTCAATTTATCTCTGATGAGCGCGGATAATGGTATAGTAGTAGATTGTGGTAGGTATCGTCTCTTTTTTTGTCGTTTCGCGGTATTTTACTTTTCGGACCAGACCACGGTATGTGCGTATCCTTCAGCCTTCTCATCTCGCATGTGCCTTGTGCCTTGAATACACCTATCAAAAACAAGAGGGTCCTTGCTGATCAATATACATCCGACACTCGATGTTTCAATGAAACATCACAAATTCACACTTCTTTGTAATAAATGTGGCTTTAAAAATGTATCAATAAAAAAAAACGGGAAAAGTAAGCGAAACAGGGTGCAATGTTTGCCGTGGAACCGGTCCTAGAGTCGTACGGGATAGAGATGAATGAAGAGAGATGCGTGTATGAAATGAAAGGATTTGGATTTTGGTATATAAAGCGAAAGCAAAGAGAAAAATAGAAGAGTTGGGATCAGTAAGCTCGAAACATTGCCGGAGTAGTACTGATGGTAAATCTGCTCGTCTATTTTCCTCTATTACCTTGGCTTATTTCAAATTTATATTTGCTTGTAACACTCATGCCGTTCTCTGGGTTTTGTACCTAATGTTGCACTACCGATTCACTGGTGATAGGCAGAAGTTCAGTCATTTGCTGAAATGGAATCGGAACTGTAACATTTCAGCTATTTCCTTGACGATTGACACTTGATGCGTATCGGTGTTGGTCGAATCAGCCGTGGAATCCACATCACGGGGTCGGGATCGGATCGTAAGCCGGGAGACCCGAGAGCGGCTGCCGCATTAGGAGTAGCTCGTCACGAGGCCCCCGTGACCGGCGCCCTGTCCCCCCCCCCCCACGCCCGTTGGAACTGGGCGGTCATAGTTCAGCGGCGCCGCGCGGGCCCACTACCGGGTTCTCGGGTTACATCGGAGCCTCGGCGACAGGCACCTGTAGCCGTGCCGGCTCATGTGACAAACAGGGCTGTCATGGAGCACGAGAGTCGCTTCACCGTTTTGTTCGACTCAGGAGGGCGTGGTGAATCACGGTCAGAAGTTGAAACGAACTGTATGTTGATTTTTTCATCGCAAGCGTCAGTCACTGATACAACAGTTACCTGTAATGTATCGATGTTACGAACTGTTGTTGGTGTTTTGTTAGCTTTTTTGCAAATATTGCTCGGATTGTTCCGGAGCCAATGTTGGAATTGTCGTTTTCGGTCGTCCCGGATAATAAAATCGGTCCGGAGAACCGGCCAGCGTTTACAACAGCCAACAGGAAAATCAAATGTTTGGCCTGCTAAATGTAATAGCCGATAAACTGTGTTCCTTTCGATGCTATCTCTGCATATTTTAGGTGTAATAATAGCAGTTTTTTATCACAAAGGCTGGGAAATTTAGAAGATTTCAGGTGCCGCGGAGTATAAAGTTATAGAGGAGAACAAAATCTTTTGAACCCCACGGGAACCAGCAAAGGGTCTTATTTCCAACGTTGTCTGGATCACAAGGCGAACAGATCCCGCACCTGCACAAGTTATTTTATATTTGTGAGATCCATCTCCTCAGTCAACAGCGAGTTGTTCTCTTTTTGTATTACGCTTGGCTTGCAGTCCACCGTCATAACATGGATGAAGTATTCCTGGATAGGACACTCCCTATTCCCCAACAGTAGCGCCGGCGACCAAGCGGCCGCCCTGGTGGCGGAGCTCCGAAACATCGGCGGCGAGTGCGCCGGCGGCCGCCGCACCGGGTTGCGTGCTAAAAAACGCGGTATTGGAGGGCGAAATTAGCGAGCTTTAGCTCATAAGACACGATTTCAGAGACTTCACACATATTTTAAGATCTTTCTTATAATTATTATGGCTCCATTTAGTCACTATCACATACGGAATCATTACCTTACCTACCTAATCATTACCTACGGCGCACGCGTTATTTCAGGCCGCCGCTAATACGACCACATCAGTGACGTGTTGAGAACGCTGAAGTGGCTGTCAGCAGAAAATCTGCACCTCTACCACTCTCTGACCATGTTAAAACAGGTTTTGTCAGCTTGCCAGCCTGAAACCCTGTACAGAAGCCTCGTGACCCGGGGTAGCATTCACCGCCGTGTGACCAGACAGGCTGACATGCTGGAGAGACCTGTAACACGGACGGAATCGGGACGCCGACGATTTCTGTTTTCTGCCGTCACGGGCTACAATGAATTGCCGCCGAGTTTCCACAACATGGGAACGCGAGAGTTCAGGCTAAAACTCCGCAAACATCTTCTGGCAAAACAACAAAACGAGTAGCGCGATGTACAAATGTGATGTGAGCTGAGTGTGTGTGCGTGAGTGTGTGTGTTAGTTGTGCAACTGAATCCCGATGTTCCGTTTTTATGACATGTCAATCATAATAGCCATGTGTTCATGGACCGATTGCACGATGTAAATACAATACAATACAATACAATACCTGATGCCCATAAACTGAGCCGGTATTCTTGACTTGCCGATGCAATTTATCATCAAATATCATCGTTCCTCGGCAGTCAAACAAGTACCTATTGATGATTTAATACAAATATCAACTTATTTTCATGTTATCGCATAAAACTTCACTTTATTCTAACATTGGCTCTTCGACTGTAATCGCGAACCCTCACTTGTCAGCAGAATTTAAGCAACTTCTTAAATCAAAACTGGGAAAAGAATATTTTCATGACATTCCTCAATTCCTGTTCTACCAGGTTCACAAAAATTTTCATCAAAATCGGTTACAGGTAAGTAATAAACGACAAAAATATACAAAAAAAAAAACACGCTCCGCCCATAGCACGCAATGCTAAAATGGCGCCAGCGCCCTCGCCGTCGGGAAATCCGCCGCCGCCGCCGGGTGGTCGGAAAATCGGCGGAGTGTCCAATCCAGGAATACCTAATCCATGGTCATAACTTGAAGGTGCTCTCTGAAAATGATCCGCGTTTTATTTCGAAGAACATATTAAGATTGTGCTGTTTCTGTCCTCAAAACGATTTTCATATTTTTATCTTGATTTTCATGCCACCCCTGGCCCATATAACTGTTATTTCAAATCGGGTTTTGTTCTATTTTAGCGGCTAAATTTTGTCGTTCGCGTTGTCAGTAGCGCGTCACGTAGCGCGCTGTCAGTACCTTGTGCTTAAATTTGGCGTTTGCCCGTGCGGCACCCTCGGTTCGCCATGGAGGCGTCGCTGCAGGACGACATGCAGGCGCTGCTGACCTACTCGGCCGTCACCTTTTTCGTGATGATATTCACCGCCATCACCATCATGGCCTTCTTCACCGTCCTGCGGCTGCTCTGGAAGGCCTGGAAACTCATCACATCGCTCTAGCTGAAATATCCACTCCCACCGTTATCCCAATCACCCCTCCCCTCCGAGCTGGATAAGGCCAGGCCGCCATGTTGTTACACACACCGCTCCGTCGGCAGGCTACATCGACCTGTCCAAGCGGCGTGTCTCGCCCGAGGGCATCGAGGAGTGCACTGAGAAGTACTCCAAGGCCAAGGCGGTGCAGTCGATCCTGCGGCATGTGGCAGAGCTGCTCGGCTACGAGACCAACGAACAGTTCGAGGAGCTCTATCGGAAGACCGCCTGGCACTTCGAGGAGAAGAGCAAGAAACAGGGCTCGGCGTACGATGTCTTCAAACAGGCCGTCAAGTGAGTCATCCTGTCGAAATGCCCTCATGCAGCGTTAACTAAACTGATGTGAACCTAATACGATCAGAATTTTGATGACGTTGGCAATATGTTCATTATCGCTTCTTCTATAAAAAGCCTTAAACATGTTTTTTGCTGTAATAAGGTTTTAAATTTTTATCTCTGCTTACATTTCGTTCATATTTAGATCCTATTTGTTATTTGAGTCCTATACAACTGCACTTACCTACAAGTCCATTGCACTTTTACTCTACCATCCTATCATAGAGCGTCTTACCTTAATAAACATCATTGTTTGAAATTGCACACGTGCCGTGAATCTGTCGGCTCATGTGGCGGTCATTGCGCTGACTGTGCGGAGTGTTCCGCTCGCTCACCCCCTTTGGCTGACCTGCCTGGTATATGCCTGGTACCCGCTGACCTGCCGCCAGTGAGCCGTCGCTGCTGGACGAGTGACCTGCCCCTGCACCCCACCCCTCTCCATTACCTGACCCGCTGACCTGCCGCCAGTGAGCCGTCGCTGCTGGACGAGTGACCTGCCCCTGCACCCCACCCCTCTCCATTACCTGACCCGCTGACCTGCCGCCAGTGAGCCGTCGCTGCTGGACGAGTGCGGTCTGGACGAAAAGACCAAGGAAATGCTGCTGCTCAACATCCAGCGAAAGCTGACGCTGGCCTCCGTGAAAATCCGCGCCGACATCGAGGTCGCCTGCTACGGGTGAGGGGCCGCGCGGCTGACGGACGAAGGGGGGGAAGATGGTTGACGGTGGGGTTGACGGTGGTATGACAGCCATGGAGTGGTAGGTCGGTAAGGGGCAGCTGAGGAGCAATTACTCTAACCATTTGCTCGCTTGGCGTCATAGTGTTTCTTGGTAACGAAATTATGTTGGGAGGGTTACGAGAGTTATGGGCTTGGTTGGCGGGCTGAGATGGTAGATATAAATCTAACCTAATAACAGGACATAGTACGGTATGTTTTTGAACATCTCTGTCAATTATTTACATAACGTAAGTTTGTGAATGCTTTCACCAACGACTTATCTGACAGCGGTATGTGTGTGAATGTGTTCGCCCACGCCTGACCGCACCGTTCATATGTTTGCCGCCAGGTACGAGGGTATTGACGCCGTCAAGGAGGCGCTGCGGGCCGGCCTAGCCTGCTCCACCAAAGATATGCAGATCAAGATTAACCTGATTGCGCCTCCCCTCTATGGTAAGACCTCTCTGTGGACGTAGCATTAGTGCGGGAGCCTGATGATGAAGAGGTTCCGAATAATGTCATCAGCTCCGTCCTCCTGGTCGCCATCCGTAGTCAGGATCGTCTGGAATCCGATATGCGCGTGTACTCTTAGATCTAACGGCTAATACTACCGTAGCGTTTCTGATATTTTTTTCTTTTTTAGATGCGTTAGAACCAGTAAAGTGTGGCGCAAGCATAGTTGAATTGCGCCTAACCCGCGCCCCACTGGGGTCTGCGTATAACACGCCCTACTGGGGGGGGGGGCTATGAATAGCCCCCCCCCCCTCCTAACTCCGAAACTACCGGGCCGATCGTCAAAATTCAAACGGCATTTGATAGCCCCGGAAAAACTGTCGAGCGAAACCTAATTTCATTGACCTCGAGGTCACCGATGACGTCACAGGTCAGGTCAAAGTAAAAATTATTAGCATTTTGGCTTGTTCACGTTTTGGGCTCTGGCCGCCGTCTTACAAGTCAGATCAGGCTCATTTTTGGATCACACACTCGGGAACAGATGCTCTAGTTACCCTGAGGGTACCAAACTTGTACTTTGATTTTCAGGTCAAAGTCAGGTCATCACAGGTCACGACAATATTATATCATACGTCGGTCGCGTGACACATGTTTTATGGTCCATTTAGGTCAGAGATTTCGAATTTGATGTCGTCTATGTCATTCGAGGTCATTTTGAGTCGAATTTAGCTTAGGTCAGGTCACTTTCAGGTCAAAAAAGGTCAAATTTTGAAGTTAAAATTTTTCAACAAAAAAGGTGTCTATTGGATGCAGTTTGAGCTCAGGAACACGATGGTGCTATTCATATTGGCGTACGATGTCAAATACGTGCTAAAAAAATGATTTGAAAAATTAATAATTGTGAATTTTTGCAATAATGCGTAAAACTTGGACATTTTTGAAGATATTTAGCTAAAACTTGCTAGAGTTAGTCATAATAATGCGTTCTATCACATATATTCGTTTTTTTTTTCGAAAAGTCAATTACTTTTTGAAAAAAAATGTAAAAATATAAATTTTGGATTTTGTTGTATTAAATTTTCCAAATTTTCAAAATTTCGAAAATCCGAGATAGAAGTTTGATAGCGCAGTCTATTCTGAGTCCTCTCATGCAAAGAAATTGTATCTAGCTTAAAAACTAAGCTCTTGGAAGCGATTGCAGTGGTTCAATGTTTTGCGTCGAAATCGGCCGAACATGACGTCACTCTGACGTCATTTTCCGCCGACCTATAGTAGTTACGAAGTTCAAATTTTGACACAAGGTGTCAAATTGATGCAGCCTAAGGTACTGAAAGTTTGTTGGCGTTGATACGTCAAGCGGTTTGGAAGTTATTGCAGAAAAACGGGAGGGAGGCTATGAATAGCCCCCCCCCCCCCCCAGTGGGGCGCGGGTTAAAAGAGCTGATAGTTTTTCAAATCACCAGTTACATTTTAACCCGGTCTCCCTTTTTATGTGCTGCGTTTATGTGCTATGGGCATCCGACTAGGCCTGTCTGTTACGCACTGTGACACGCGTCGTCCGGTGTCCGCAGTTATGACTACGAATACGCCAGAGAAGCAGGACGGCCTGAAAACGCTGGAGGCCGCCTGCGACGCCATCCGGGAAAGCATCAAGGCGCAGGGCGGCAAGTTCGAGATAAAAATGGCGGTAAGTTAATCTCACTGTTCCCAAATGCAACTTCCTGTGGGTTATTCAGGGATGAAGTCACCGCCGCAGGGGATCAGTATTTTGTCGGCACCCGAAGGAAGCGAAGAGGGTTGTGTCTGTTAGCGGCGTAATTTATTTTATTTTCGATATCAGTGTCTTCACCAACAAGCTCGCAACATACTCAATACGAATGACACTTTTACGATTACTATGTTATTTGTCTGACTTTCGCCCCTTCTCGTCACCGTAAACCTTGTTCTTTTCCTTTATTTCATACGAACCTTGCAGCATTGGGACCTTGCAGAACTTGAATTTGTTTAGGTGCTCGTTTGTCTTTATGCCGTTTCCCTGACCCTGGTCGTACTCGGTCTGTCCTGTGTCTGTGAATGGTGTCCTCTTTGAGTGTCTGAGTATCCCCTCCGAATTCCTTCTGTCTGTGAGTTTTCCCTGTAAGTGTCCCCTCCGCGTGTCTGAGTGCCGTGTGTCTCGGTGCCGCAGCCCAAGATTGTCACGGACGTGGACGAGGCGGACCTGCAGAAGCAAATGGACACGGCCGAGGCCGAGACGCGGCAGGTGGCCGGCGACGACTCCGAGAGCGGCTCCGGCTCCGGCTCCGACTCCGACGGAGAGGGCGACGGCGACGAGGACAAGGCCGAGGAGTGACCCGCCCAGCGGCCGGCCCGGGGCGCGCAGGACGCACTGGCCCCGTGAACGTGTGAGCGATGAGACCGCGGCGGTGCTGAGCAGGGCCGGCCTCCCTATACCGAACTCTGATCTGCCTCTGGAGTCCTTTCCGCTGCCGCTGTCAGCTCCCCGGACTGTGGCCAGGCGCGACTCAGCTGCCGCCGCCCGGCCTCTCACTGCAGCTCCTGCGGCCCGGCGCCCCGGCGGACGAACGGACGGAGCGGCCGACTGGTGGTGGGACCGCGCTGTCGGACCGGCCGGGCGCGCGCGGCCGTTCGCCAGACACCTGACACGTTCCAGGGTCCGAATGCTTTTATATTTTGGAGTTGCCAAGGAGCGCCGACCGGTTGTGAGGGCGTGGCGCGCTCTGACGTGACGTGACGTGATGAAATAGATGTCCACCGTGACGCCGGGTTTGCGCAGAGTGGCGTGGCGCGAGGGTGAAGGGCGACGGTGAGGTGTCTGCCGATGGCGGTCGGCCTTTGGGCTCGTGATGGATTGACTATTTTCCATGAGCGATGCGTTCAATATTCTGCTTGTCTGTTTAGGGAAATTGAATTTCGAACCAAACTGTCCTCATCTCGGTAATGTTTTATTTACGGTCACGTCAAGCAGTTTCATATTCCGTCACTTCCTTGGATATGGGCGAACACTGATTGGGTGTTGCTTCATGACAACCTTAGTGTTTTGGAATGCACGCATTCATAGCGGACACACATGGCTTGGTTTCCGGGCCTCGATTTGTTTTGAAATTGTGGCCATTACCTCTCAGGTTGGCGCTGTAACTCTGTTGTCCAAATCAAAATGATTGCCGTTTCTCTACCTGTTATCAGTTATTGACTTCGAAAGATGGATATGATCGCACGATAGGAAAGAAGGGGATAATTTCTAGCACCCATTAACCCGCGCTTGGGCTGTGCGTTTTTCTCCCACTACCAATTTGAATTATCTTGGTATGTGAACTTCTTTTCTTCCCAAGTGTTCCGAAGTGTATTCACAACCCAGAAGATAACCCAGTCAAAATCACGCGTTAAGGAGGGCTTCTTTCGATCTCCATGCCGAAACGATTTGTTTGCGAAATCGTTTGAAGGTCATTCCGCACAACCCAATGCTCGAGCCTATGGCTCGAGGTCATACCCCTATCTTAGAAAGTCGTCTCGCCCCACCCGGCTCGTACTCATAGTAACTATCCAAGGTATCTCCATGCATGTGGCATTCGCCTGCCCACTTTATGACGGCAAACTGTCGATCCTATCCCCCATTAAATTAGCTCATGACGAAAGGCACTTTCGACAAACCGCATGACGTGTATTGATTTGTGCAGCATCGGCAATACACATTCGCAACTGTGGCAGAACTGAGCCCTCTTGCACCAAACTACCTGTAGCTAGGTAAAATCGAAAAACCGGTTTCAGAATAAGCTAATCAAACGGTGGTAAATTTGTTTGCAATAGCCCAATATATAATCCTACAGGTGCTTGGTAAATTTTACACGCAAATTGTCACATTTGAGTCTTGGATTGGGTATACGATGCAAAATAATTCAAGCATTGGTGCAAGAGGATTTTGGTGCAAGAGGCCTCTGTTCGGGCAAAGAGTGGCTCTTCGTATAAGATATATACATACTAGTAGTCTTACAGATCCATAGAGGCACGATGCCTCCGCAGGTTTACATACAAAAGGCAGTAGCCCACACAATATAAGTAAACGCTCAACATTTATTTCAAGGGATGAACCACGGACGCGAGCATTGAAATGAAAGCACACTTAGACTTACCAATAGCGGGGGCACGACAGGTGCGCCGGGCTCGGGAGGGGACAGTGCTCGGCAGCAGGGACATCCTCTCCCCCCACCCCCTAAATATAGGATCCCAGTCATACATTCAACGGGGTATTTCGAGGCGATCATGGGCTCTTGGCTTCAAGCTGAAACCGCAGTATCACAGGGAAAGTATTTGATGGTTCTAGCCCAAGCTTGGACTCTGGTAACGTTTTATCCTCGGAAACAAAAAGAATAACGTTCAAAGCATACGTTGCTATGCAAATAACATGTTCGCATAATTTCTGAGGAAAATTCCAATGAAGTGTAGCATCGCCAGTGCATCTCATGCCAGCCCGCCCTCTCGGATGGTGGGCCAACTCGTACTGGCCTCTCTTATTCACACCTCACGGCGCCATCTGCACTTTGCCTCGCACGGCACGGCGCCACCTGGCGCGCTACACACCACCCGGCGCTGACGCCCCCTGTGCATAGCCCGCTCGCTGACCCGCGTCTCGGGCAGTGTTTCTCAACTCCCTCCGGTCCACTCTATGCAGTGGTCCGTCTCCAGTGTGTTCCCCTTCCCTCCTCCCTGTGATTTGTCCCGGCCGGGTCCGACCACTACGTCCCTCCAACCCCTCCCCACCCCGGTCCGTCGCTGGCTGCGCGTCCGGCGGCTACTGGCTGAAGCCGCCGTTCAGCCGGCCGGCGATGTCGACACTGCCGCTCCGCCGGCCGGCCGGCGGGCAGGCGACGTAGACGACGAGCACGACGAGCCGGACCAGCAGGCAGAGGCAGGCCACGCCCAGCACGGCGCCGAGCACGGCCGGCACGGCGCCCGGCGCGCGCCAGTAGTTGTTGTCGAACACACCGGACAGCGCCCACACCAGGGCTGAGGGGCACACGGACAGAGTCAGGGTCAGATTTAGCTGAACTGGCTCCACATTACATTGGCTTCTTGTCCGTACACGTCAGGAACCTATCAAAACAAAGAATGGGCTGCGGGCACACGCACAGTGTGTATGGCACACGGATCCATAATGTCGCCGTTCATTGCTCGACAGGGTATTAGAGACTAGAGAGGTTGTGGGTGAAGACTATTAGCGATTAGCTAAGGAACAGACGAACTCACTGAATCCAGGCGATATGGTCCACCGGGTGTATTTGTCTAGCACGGTGAGCTCCAGCACCAGCCAGAGGATGATGAGGGCGCCCAGCACGCAGGCGATTACCAGACTGGCCACCTCGTTCGACGCCTGGGGTGGACAGGGGTGTCAGGGACCAGACGACATCACCCGGGGGCGTGACTGAGGCATCGGAGAGGGACGATATTTCAGGGCTCCATAATAAGTTGTATGTTTCATAATTCATACTATAAATATTTAAGGGCTCCAGTTTCTATACTATAATTTGTTATAATTTGTATATTTCATAATTCATACTATAAATATTTAAGGGCTCCAGCAGGGGCGGATCCAAGGGGGGGGGGTCACATGGGTCATGGCCCCCCCTTGAGGCCCGGGGGCCCAAAGACCTGTCAGGGGCACCACCGGCCTATCAGGGGTATCACAGTCCTGACAGGGGCACCACAGGACCACCAGGGGCACCACAGGCCTAGCAGGGACACCACGGGCCTGGTGCCCCTGGGCCCTGACAGGACTGTAACGCCCCTGACAAGCCTGAAGTGTCCCCGGCAGGGACGTGGTGCCCCTGACAGGCCTGAGGCGCCCCTGCAAGGCCGGTGGTGCCCCTGGCAGGCCTGTGGTGTCCATGGTAGGCCTGTGGTGCCCTTGCTAGGCCTCTGGTGCCCCTGACAGGCTTGTAATGCCCCTGGAAGGACTGTGGTGCCCCTGGGCCCTGACAAGCCTGAGGTGCCCGGCCATGACAGGCCAGTGGTGCCTTGCTAGGCCTGTGGTGCCCCTGGCAGGCCTGTGGTGCCCCTGGCAGGCCTGTGGTGCCCCTGACAGGCTTGCGGTGCCCTTGGAAGGACTGTGGTGTCCCTGGGCCCTGACAACCCTGAGGTGCCCCTGACAGGCCCGTGGTGCCCTTGTTAGGCCTGTGGTGCCCCTGGCAGGCCTCTGGTGCCCTTGCTAGGCCGCTGGTACCCCTGCGCCCTAAGAGGACTGGTGCCCCTGAAAAGTCTGAAGTGCACCTCGGCAGGCCCGTGGTGCCCCTGACAGGCCCAAGGTGCCCCTGCGAGGCCGGTGGTGCCCCTGGCAGACCTCTGGTGCCCCTGGCAGGTCTGTGGTGCCCCTGGCAGGTCTGTGGCGCCCCTGGCAGACCTGTGTTGACTGGTGCCCCTGCTAGGTCGCTGGTGCCCCTCACAGACCTGTGGTGCCCCTGGGCCTTGACAAGCCTGAGATGCCTGGCTATGACAGGCTCGTGGTGCCCCTGATAGACCAGTGGTGCCCTTGCTAGGCCTGTAGTGCCCCTGGCAGGCCTTTGGTGCCCCTGCTACCCCTGCGCCCGGCCGAGGACTATGGTGCCCCTGAAAAGCCTGAAGTGCCTCTCGACAGGCCCGTGGTGCCCCTGACAGGCCCAAGTTACCCCTGCAAGGTCGGTGGTGCTCCTGGCAGGCCTCTGGTGCCCCTGGCAGGCCTGTGTTGACTGGTGCCCCTGCTAGGCCGCTGGTGCCCCTCACAGGCCTGCGGTGCCCCTGGAAGGACTGTGGTGCCCCTGCCCCTAGGGGTGCTCATGGGCCCAACAGGCCCGTTGTGCCCCTGACAGGCCTGTCGTGTATACTTGCTAGACCTGTGGTGCCTCTGCTTCCTGGCGGGCCTGTGGCGCCCCTACAAGGCCGTAGGTGCCCCTGACAGGTTTGTGGTGTCCCTGGAAGGACTTTGGTGCCCCTGACAAGCCTGAAGTGTCAAGGACAGACCCTTTAGACGCCAGGGTCAAGTTCGTCGGACTGACAACGATTCGCTTACCTGATAACGTTCCTGGTAAGTACTCACTACTCAGCGTCCACGACATATATACACATAGCACATTCATATATATTTGCTTACAATTGGTAAATGTGGTTGTGGCAAAAGTTAAGATACTGACTAAAAATAAAAATTAAAAAGAAAAAAAACTGAAAATGGGGGCACCACCAAAATGAAGTGGACGAAATCCGTTGAGTTTTTAATTTTGGGTATAGGTAGGGGCACCACTTCGATTCATGACCCTCCCCTTGGAGTTTTCCTGGATCCGCCCCTGGGCTCCAGTTTCTATACTATAATTTGTTATAACTTGTATATTTCATAATTCATACTATAAATATTTAAGGGCTCCAGTTTTTATACCACACTACGACCAAAACTCTTGTGTTTTGAGATTGTTTTGGATTTAGGAAACATATTTAACCCTCGCATGTGTAGGGGGGGTCGGATGGACCCCCCCCCCCCATGGTTTTTCGCGAATAACTCGCGTAAAAAGCGGCCGATCGCGACGAAACTTTCAGTACCCTCGCATTGATCAATTTTACACCTACCCTGAAAATGTCATGACCCTGACCCAAATGACCTTTGACCTGTGACCTCTTTTCCGAGACCGTGTTTGGCCGGAATCGCGATTCCGCGTATGTCGGCTCGCATTAGCCGCGCGTTTGCAAGCTTTTCGTGGTTTCAAACGTTCAAACATGTGATTTGATGTTGCTCCCATGCATTAGGGTGGGTGTCAAGGTCACCTGAAGGTCAGGTCAGGTCATTGACCTTTGGTGACCTCGTGTGACCTCGGTTCACTTTTTCGAGTTTTACATGTTTCTAGGCTAGTTTTTTAGCTGAATTCGAATTTAGCAACCATTTGAACATTTACGAAGTAGTTTTGTTGCCTTCGTAACATGTTACGAAGCTGTCAGAGGCGGTTGACACGTACTACGAATACCCGTCACAACCCCTACTGGTTGACCTGACCTGACCTGACCCGACCTGGTCTAAATGCTTAAAGACATCATTTGTGATCAAAACTAACACGATTTTCGTGATCAGCACCCCGAAAAACCCCTTAGCAGCCACACTTTACGACTTTCTAATAGGTCCCGATTTTCCCGACTTCGGGTCATTGATTGGGTATCATCGGCTTCCTCTCGTCACGGGCAACACGCTCGTTTTTTCCGCGAAGCTCTAGCTCGATCAGGGGCCAAACGGCAAGGGAAGGGGGGGTCCAACCGACCCCCCCCTACACATTAGAAGCTGGAAAACGCCGCACACATGCGAGGGTTAATAAGTTTTAACGTAATTGCTAAGAAACCCATTTATCAGAAAAGTATGGGCTAACATTTTAAGTGCGCAGTGCACACTAACTGTGAGGATGAAGGACACATTTTGTCGGGCGGCCGGAGGGTTCTGCAGTCTGTCGTGTCGGAATTCTGTCTTGGAAATCGTATTGCGGCACTGGCATGAACGTTTAATTAGCTATTGATCGCTCCAGCCGCCTCCAAATTAAAAAGACATTCACCGCTCGCCTATATGTACTACGCAACACGGTATTGGCAGGTACTTACCTATATTATACAACTTTCACTCCATCAGGTCTAGGGCTTTGTAAAACGTGCACCGTTACATCATTCACAGCCCATTAGCCTGCCGCGTAAATGATCCGCCCCGGCGACCGAATATACGCACCCCGGCGACGTATACGATGGCGATGTCGAGGTTGAGCAGCGCCGCAATCGTGGTCCAGGTCGTGTAGACGGCCAGCCCGTTATGCATGGTGACCCGGAGAGCGATCAGTTCCGGGCGGGGCAGCTCCACGGGCACGCCGTCCTGGATCAGCCTGACGGGCAGCGGCAGACGTCCCGTTATTACGGCAGCCGTATAACCCGCAGTTATTGATCGCTGTCAGCGCGGAATGACGGCTGCCAGGTGCAGGGATACACACCGGCGAGGACCGGGTGTGGGATGAATTAATTAATCATATATCAATGAGTGATAGCTGCAGTAACAAGCAGGTGAACCTAGCGACAGCATCGGCAAGTTAGTGCAAGTGCCGCTGGTCCCAGCAATCAATAGCAATGACATGCATAATACATATGTCACATATGCACTCGAGAGGAGCCGAGCTGCTTTGCAGCACTTAGGCCATGGCCAAATTATTCCTCACCTATGGAGTGCAGGATGTAAGTACAGTTGGTCCTCACCGGGAGTGCAGGATGTACATGGCCAGCCAGTTGGTGATGACGATGAGGAACAGGAAGACGGCGGCGGCCGTCATTAGCTCCCGGTCCCAGACGAACAGCCAGGAGATGTTGAGCGCCTGGTTGGTGATGAAGAGCACCCAAAACTGGAGCGGCACCGTCACAGGGCTCAGGTAGACCGGGCCGGAGTCGGAGCTGCGGCACAGCTGCGACAGCGCTGCAACGACAGCCAGACGCTCGTCAGGACTTCATCAGAAGAAAGGGCTGGAGAGAGGTCAACAATGGTCCCTTGGATTGATAAAGGGCGAATATCAGTCGCAGTTCTCGCTAGGTCATACAACCGCCAATGCCACTGGCATCTCGCATGGATATAAATTAAACGGCACACTTAAATTAGTGGCAATTAATCAATCAATTGACGCATACAACACAATTGTCAAGTGCACTGTGAGGCGTTATCGTGGTGATAACTAGCTGTCACCAACTGGCGTGAACGAACAGTTCGCACGTGCACTGTACTTGGTACCTAAATAAATTCATAAAATAAAGATATTTGCTGTAAAAGAGATTATGAGCAGATTTGGTCAAATAAGTGCACTTGCCGGATAGCCAGTCGTGAAAACGGCTTATAGGTACCGTCGGTCTGCGCGGGATGAATTGGCCGGCATTTCCCGGCTCAGTGGTGCCATTTGATACCCGGTGACGCCACCGTTTATAGGGTCGGTGGAGTGTTTATCGGTCACCGCTGCAGGTTATCTGTCCTCCAGTCGGCAGCGGTTAGCAGCCGAGACGGCGACCGGTAAACAACTCCCGTATCTATCGAGACGACTGGTTATATAAAACATGCATTTACCAACGATCAACACGTGCAGTATGCCACATTCCGCGGATGAAGGGACGAACGGAGAGACGGACTATGCTTCAGATACAGCACGTGCCATAGATACGCTCCAGATAAAGCACGGGACGGACGCGCTCTGCAGGGTAGGTGCGGCATGTTACCCTTGCAATGTTATGTCTTATGTTACGCGTGTCAGGGGTGTCGTTTTCCGAAAATGATTGGTAGTGCCCAAAGGCGGCGGCTGGCCATATATGACGGGGCTTACAAGGTAGGGTACCCCCAAATATGCCTTTCTCATCGGATTTCGGCCACTTATTTTTCGCCCTGGTCATTGACAAGACTAACCGAAATCTAAAAAAACACAAAAAAAAAACTTTGGAAATCTGGGTCCACACCGGACGCCATGCACAAAACGTGCAGTTATATAGGCAATAGTGCCGGAGGAATGCACGCCATTCTGAAAGAGGCCCACATCGACTTAAAAGGACGGTTGTGCTGAAAGGGGACAGGAACAGCTTTGAGGGCCCAAGCCGACTAAAAAAGACGGCTGCGGGGCCAGGAACGGTTTTGAAGACCCACGCCAATTGAAGGGTTCGACAAATAACGAGGACTGGAAACACAACGATAGTTAGACAGACCTGCTTGCCAAAATAAAAGGATGACAGTACGAGGGGCGTTCAGAAAGCTACGGGCCCGACCATGAAGGAGCAGAGAGATACAGCATCGACTCATTAGACCAAAAAGTTCATTTATTCAAATAAACACCGTTAAGACAAACACATTTCGCGCAGCGCTTCGCGAGAGCCCTCAAGGCCTCCATAACCAAGTGGGTTTTGGACCCATCCTGCACGTCCAAGACGGCTGATTTCGTCTCCCTGCTGTTAGCGAGGTTGCCGCTGCTAATTTTCTTATGTTGGGGAAGAGGTGGCAACCACTAACCAAAGTGTGCAAGGTTCGGAGAGAAAAAAGTGGATGCGACAACAACTCGAAGCTCATCGCTTCACTGTTCGTCATCCCGCCCATGTACGCAGGTGCGTGGTCGCGGATCAGGTGCACACTTTACGTCAGCTTCCCTATAGCCTCTCCTCGATGTTTATCGAATGGACGCACATCATCAATTGTGTGCCCCTGTTTTGGAAAGTTGACGAGCGGAGGGGGGTCGCATCGACCCCTCCCCCCTGCCAGGCCGTGTCATGAAAAATGCCCAGGGCGAGGGTTAACGCTTGGTGCCTTTTCTGCACTAACTACTATGAAACGAATCACTGCTCTCTTCTGGGCGTCGCCCATCCTATCCGAAATGGCGAACTATGCTACGAATAGAAGCCCGAATCAATCACAGAAGAGACTTAATTAATGGCCACTTACTTAATTTGCGTAAGTGGACATCCCAATAACACATCATTTAACACACCGCCTTGCAGGCCAAAATTCCAACTTCTTCATTGTTCGGCCCGAAACTTTTTGAACGCCCCTCGTAGTTACGAGCTTCAGTTTTCGGGGTCTGATGCGGTAATGACCTGGCGTTGAACCCTGGGGAATCAGGCTGTATCACCCACTCAAATCAATATACCTATGGCCTATTCTGGAGCACCGCGGCACCTTCCGAAGTCGGTGTAGGGCCTCCAGCGGCTGGTGTGCAGACGGATCGGGGTCTATTAGGGGCGGTCGCGTGGTATGCGGGACTCAGAGGCAGTTATGGACCTCTATAACCAATTGCGTTTTCGAGCCTCTTAAAATCCATTAACTCATTAACGACGATAATTCCGTGGGCAAATTTCGGCAGTTTTTCTTGATGCCCTGTGCTTCTACATGCACTAGAAATGCACATACGGTGTATTGAAAAATAAAAATATTTTTAACATATATTTCTGGACTGGCAACTATAGTTGCCACTCGGCGTTGGCGTAGTCAAAAATTGCCGCTATCGTAACTTTTCATTAAACAAATACTAATCGCCGGGATGCATTGAATCTATTTATGTCCCAACTTATCCCCCACGAGCCTTAATCCAATTTCCAAACAGAAAAAAGTGGTTACGCCACTTCAATATAAATTTTTAATAAGATAATTACGTCTAAGTAGTGGAATCTACACTATGCCCTATGGTATAAGCCTGTAGCCTGTGCCCAAAGCAGCTGCAGTCCTTGGTATCCAGGAAACACAGTTCATTTATCCATCAATAAGTGTTTTTCTGTACCAAAGCAGATGCTCTTTACCAGTCCTTTTTAACCATTTATCTTGACATGCATAAATAAAATCTGCTCGAAAACAATTCAACAAAGAATGCATATTATCTCATACGTAGTTCTCACCAGATCCCTATTTACTCGTACAGTGTGTCTAAAAAGAATGTACCGTCGCCACTACGTGGCGCTGGTGTCGCGAGCCGGTAGTTGGCTGAATCCGCACCAGACCACACATTCCCAAGCGCTAGGTGACAGCTGCGCAGCGGCCGGTAGTAGCGTAAGCCCGAACCTTCGTGACACGACCCCGGGGGGGGGGAGGGGAGCGCGGCGGGCGGGGCAGCGCGTGTAGGGAGGGGTGCTCCAGCAAGCTGGCAGTTGTCGCGGCCAAAGGTCAAGGGGTCACACACCAAGCGAACGGACGCTGATGTGGGTTCGTGAGGATCATGAACTTGTGTGTGGTAGGTGCGTCTTGCGATGCACGGGTGATACGCCAGGTCTAAGCCAAAGGATTCAGGGGAGAGCTGAAGAAAAACATCTGGTCAACTACGGCGAATAATGGTGCTGAAAAATGGAAAGTATGGGTCAATGCAAGCCTTCATGACTATAAACAACTTTTTTGAGGACGCAAAGGCCAGCATTGAATAACGATATCCGGATCGAAATTAGCAATGATTTATAATTAAATGCCGAATTAATAGCGCTGCAAAACCCTCCTAGTAAATTGTCAAGTCGGATTATACCCACTTGAATTAAACTATCCTAAATAAAATTGTTAATCAACTTTCTAACACTGACGTTCTTTATCATACGATAAGTATGGGGTTAACCAAGATTCAGCATCTTCCGCGTTCAAACTATCACCTGTAAGGCTAGAACATTAATGGCCAGGTAAAAACATGGTCGGGATTTGATTAACCGGATCATAAGTCGATTTTTTTTAGTCGGGATTTGATAAGTCGGATTTTTTTTACGCCAACCGCATTTTTAAGTCAAGTCAGGTCACTGATCTATGACGTCATAAATGAGCAGTCCTAAAATGAACTGTGTGAAACTGTCCTAAACTGTCCTAAAATGAACATTTTAGGACTGTGCTAAAATGTTCCAACTTCGCAGCACCCTCAGTGCATGGCTTTCATAGGGAGATGAAACTTACAGGATCTTATAGTATGATCGAGAGGTCTCACAACTTGTATAAATGTAGGTATATCTAGGATTTTCTGAAGGGTCGCCTGAGATCAGGTCAGTCTCTCACCATTAAAAGTCAGGGGAATATGGAAATTGCTAGTTTGGTCCGGAAATGATACACAACTATCTCAAATTCTCAAGCACACGGAATCGTGATTTCATGCGCTCCTTGCAAGGTCTGATGCTTCAATTTTGCTTTGTTGATCTTGCGTGACGTCATTTATCGCGTAACTAAGGCTATCAGTTTTTCGTCAATAACTCCCGATCAACTAAAGCTACCGAGTCGATAAAGCCACTAATGGACATGAAAAGACCTGCCGAATCGATTGATATGCAATATGACCTCCTTTGACCAGCTTCGTGACCTGACGGGCTGTGACCTGACCTTGACCCGAGGTTAACACCTTAACTCTCGCCCGTATTGATGTTTTTCCAGCCTCAAACGTCTAAGGGTTCGTTGGACCCCCCCCTTGCCGTTTCGCCCCTGATCGAGCTAGAGCTTCGCGGAAAAAACGAGCGTGTTGGCCGTGACAAGAGGAAGTCGATGATACCCTATTTTAAGGTCCTAGGTCATCGGTTGACTTTCCAGGTCAGGTCAATGACCCAAAAGTTGGGGAAATCGGGACCTGTTAGAAAGTCGTAAAGCGTGGCTGCTATGGGGTTTTCGGGGTGCTGATCACGAATATCATGTTAGTTTTGATCACAGATGATGCCTTCATGCATTTAGGCCAGGTCGGGTCAGGTCAGGTCAGGTCAACCAGTAAGGGTATTCGTAGTAGGTGGCAACCGCCTCTGACAGCTTCGCAACATGTTACGAGGGCACCAAAACTACTTCGTAAATGTTCATATGGCTGCTAAATTCGAATTCAGCTCCTAAATGTAAAACTCGAAAAAGTGAACCGAGGTCATCAAAGGTCAATGACCTGACCTGACTTTCCGGTGACCTTGACACCCACCGTAATGCATGGAAGCAAGATCATATCCCATGTTTGAACGCTTAAAACC